TGCAGAACCTGACGGGGCTGGCCTCCCATCACGATTAAACTCCCGAAAAGCAACGCACTTCCTATAGATTTTGCCGCGCGCCTCGATAGAGGTCCACCGCGATCCCAACGCAAGGACACTGTCGAAGAGAACTTTCCGCCAAGGTTTTCGCCCTGTCTAAAAAGATAGAAGAGGCGAAAAGCCACCCCCAGCGCCTAAGCGTGGAAAAGTGGCCAGCGCCGTCCCGTGCTGGTGCTGCCTCCCCGCTCATGTTCCCCCTGTCTTCAGCCCCAGCCGCCTGCGCTTCGGGGAGCTTTCACCGGTGTGCCACGGCCGCACCCAAGGCGGCACCCGTCCCCGTGCCAATCATGGCGCGCGAGCGGTCCACAACCTTCCGGCGCTGAGGCTGCCACCAAGAGCGACGAAACACAAACAGAGAGCAGTCAGAGTCACTCCGCCACCTTCTGCAGCCAGCTGAGCTCCCTCTCTGGCGCTTCCCTGGGCCACGAATTCAGCCGAGCGCATGAGCATACGCGCGCCGCCACTCGAAACACCTGGGGCACGCACCCCACTGACCAGCCCACCCCCGGCAAGATCAGCCACAAGCGCCCAGCAATGAGCCCGCAACCATGCTGCAACGAAAAGGAGAAAAAGGCGAGAAACAATCAAAGGGGCCACCCGAAGCCTTTGACCCAACTCACCCGAAACGCCTGCCCAGCCACCCCTGCGCCGCTCGCCTGCCAAGGCAAGGCGTCCCCTGGCCATCACCAAACCCACGCAAGCAACAACCCCCAAGCCTGTCAAGCCCTTGAAGCCTGCAAAAGTCCGCAGCCGACAGCCTTGGCTAAGCAACACCCAAAAACACTGGCGGGGCTTTGCCTCTCACGCCTCGCATTTCATTCAATCAAAAAAAAACGAAGGGGACCCAACTCAAGACCAGGAGGAAAGTCAGCTGACAAAATAAAAAACCGAAAAAACCCCGCAAAGCCAAAAAGTGCCAAACGCTCGAAACTTACTCCGAACGAATTCAGAAACGAATAAGAAACGAGCCGGGCAGCGTCCCACGCCCCCGAAGGCGGCTCGCCCTAACTTCCCTAAAAAATTTGCAGAATAAAAAACATCACGGCGTCACGCCAAGTAAATAGTAAGTTTTTCTATAGGAGGCATAGAAAAACTAAGGAAAGGATAGAAAAACTTAGATATAAGATAGAAAAACTAAAAAGAAGACAGAAAAACTAGAAAACAAAAAAAGAAAGAAATAACCCGAACAGTTGAAATCTCTACCCATCTAATAGAAAAACTTGCCACCCAATAGAAAAACTTGCAACCCAATAGAAAAACTCACGGCCAAATAGTTCAACCCGTCACGCCCTAATAGTTCAACCCGTCGCGCCCTAATAGTTCAACCCGTCACGCCCTAATAGTTCCACACAACCAACGACGGATCGGCCAGGCGCCAATGTAGGTAGACCCACCCACCCGCCCGAAAATGGGCAAGCCAGTCGCAGATCTATCGCCCCGTGCTGGGAGGGAGCAGCCAAGCAAGAGGTCAGCCATGCCAGCGCGCGATGCTACATGGGAGCCCCAGCCGCTACTGGCTGCAGCTGCCCAGGCGGGAGGACCCGAGACAAACAAAGACCAGACCCGCCGGACCCGTCCGGCCGCGTAGCACTGACACGCAAGTCAAGGCCCGCGCGTCGCCGCGGGCTACAAACAACACACAAAACGAAACGAACATACACGCACCAACTACCAACGAACAACCAAGAGCAAAGCCTGCGCGCGCTCGTGGCGCGACACAGAGAGACAGACCCCGCTGCCCAAGCTCAACCACTTAAAGCAAGCGCACACACGCTCGCGCAGAGCAGTCTCGACCGAGCAGCGAGCGCAGACGCGACTCGATCGCGCGGCGAACGCAGACGAGACCCACCTGCGCAGCGAACGCAGACAGAGGCCGACGAGGCTCCCCGCCTCGCTCGAGTACGTTGTAGCCAGTCACCCACGCAAACGAAGCAAACACATCACCCACGCAGAGAGTACTCGCTCGAACAGCGCCCAAATGCACATCCCTCACGCAGAGAGCACTAACCTACGCCACAGCGCAAACCAGCTCACGCAAGCCGCGCAGCCGCAAAGGAACCCACCCGCGCAAGGAGCGCAAACTCACGCGACGCGCGCAACGCAGACTCGCTCGCGCCGCGCAGACAAGCTCGCTGCTCGCGCAGAGGTAGACTCACCCTCCCAGCACGCAGCGCAGAGGTAAACTCGCTCGCGCAGCGCAGACTCACTCGCGGGCGCAGCGCGGACTCGCTCGCGCCGCGAAGACTCACGCGCGCGCCGCAGACTCATTCACGCAGCGCAGACCCACCCCCGCCCCCTCGCGCAGCGCAGACTCGCTGGCTCGCGCAGCGCAGACAGACTCGCCCACGCGGCGCAGACTCGCTCGCGCAGCGCAGCCAACTTACTTAGACCCGCTCGCCCGCGCGGCGCAGACTCACTCACGCCAGACGCACGGCCCGAGTCGCTCGCGCAGCGCAGACTCGCCCGCGCAGCGCAGACAAGACAAGACTCAAGACCGCAGACAGAGCCGACAGACTCGCCCGCGCTGCGCCGACTCGCTCACGCCGCGCCGACTCGCTCACGCCGCGCCGACTCGCTCACGCAGCGCCGACTCACTCGCGCACCAGCGTAGACGCACTCGCGCAGCGTAGACGCACTCGCGCAGCGCAGCCTCACTCACGTAGCGCCGACTCACTCGCGCAGCGCAGAGAGACTAGCTCGCGCAGCACCGCGCCGCACGTCACAGACTCGCCCGCGCAGCGCAGACTCTCACGCCCGCACAATTGCGCAGACTCTCTCGCACAACTGCGCAGACTCACCCGCGCAGCGCAGGCTCGCCTGCGCGGCGTAGACACACCTGCGCAGCGCCGACTCGCTCACGCCGCGCCGGCTCCACTCGCTCACGCAGCGCAGACTCACACCACTCGCGCCGGCCGCGCAGACTTGACTCACGTGCGCCGCGCGGACAGACTCGCTCACCCACGCAGCCCAGACGCGCTTACGCAGTGCAGACGCGCCCACGCAGCGCAGACTCACTCACGAGGCGGCGACTCGATCACGCGGCACAGACTCACCCACACGCGCAGACTCGCTCGCGCCGCAGCACATACTCGCTCGCGCAGCGCAGACCCGCCCTCGCAGGGCAGACTGACTCACTCGCGCAGCTGGGACCCGCTCCCAGCCGCGGCGCAGACTCGCTCGCGCAGCGCAGACTCACCCGCGCAACGCAGACTCACCCGCGCAGCGCAGACTCGCTCGCGCAGCGCAGCCTCAGTCACGCACGCAACGCAGCGCCGACGGACGCGCTCGCGCCGCGCAGACTCGCCCGCGGGCGCGGCGCCGCCCGACTCGCTCGCGCAGCGCAGAATCGCTCGCGCAGCGCAAGCCCACCCGCTCCCGCGCAGCGCAAGCCCACCCGCTCCCGCGCAGCGCAGACTCGCTCGCGCGGCGCAGACTCGCTCGCGCAGCGCAGACTCGCTCGCGCAGCGCAGATTCGCTCGCGCAGCGCAGACTCGCTCGCGCAGTGCAGACTCGCTCGCGCAGCGCAGACTCGCTCGCGCAGCGCAGACTCGCTCGCGCAGCGCAGACTCGCTCGCGCAGCGCAGACTCGCTCGCGCAGCGCAGACTCGCTCGCGCAGCGCAGACTCGCTCGCGCAGCGCAGACTCGCTCGCGCAGCGCAGACTCGCTCGCGCAGCGCAGACTCGCTCGCGCAGCGCAGACTCGCTCGCGCAGCGCAGACTCGCTCGCGCAGCGCAGACTCGCTCGCGCAGCGCAGACTCGCTCGCGCAGCGCAGACTCGCTCGCGCAGCGCAGACTCGCTCGCGCAGCGCAGACTCGCTCGCGCAGCGCAGACTCGCTCGCGCAGCGCAGACTCGCTCGCGCAGCGCAGACTCGCTCGCGCAGCGCAGACTCGCTCGCGCAGCGCAGACTCGCTCGCGCAGCGCAGACTCGCTCGCGCAGCGCAGACTCGCTCGCGCAGCGCAGACTCGCTCGCGCAGCGCAGACTCGCTCGCGCAGCGCAGACTCGCTCGCGCAGCGCAGACTCGCTCGCGCAGCGCAGACTCGCTCGCGCAGCGCAGACTCGCTCGCGCAGCGCAGACTCGCTCGCGCAGCGCAGACTCGCTCGCGCAGCGCAGACTCGCTCGCGCAGCGCAGACTCGCTCGCGCAGCGCAGACTCGCTCGCGCAGCGCAGACTCGCTCGCGCAGCGCAGACTCGCTCGCGCAGCGCAGACTCGCTCGCGCAGCGCAGACTCGCTCGCGCAGCGCAGACTCGCTCGCGCAGCGCAGACTCGCTCGCGCAGCGCAGACTCGCTCGCGCAGCGCAGACTCGCTCGCGCAGCGCAGACTCGCTCGCGCAGCGCAGACTCGCTCGCGCAGCGCAGACTCGCTCGCGCAGCGCAGACTCGCTCGCGCAGCGCAGACTCGCTCGCGCAGCGCAGACTCGCTCGCGCAGCGCAGACTCGCTCGCGCAGCGCAGACTCGCTCGCGCAGCGCAGACTCGCCCGCGCAGCGCAGACTCGCCCGCTCATGCGGATGCGCTCGGGCAAGGAAAGCGGATATCGTTGGGATGTCAAAAAGTATACTCGAAAAGACGAACAAGACCAGACGAAAGCAAGCAAAAACACCCACAAGAAGACCCCGGCGACAAGCCTCCGCCTTACCCTGTGGAGCTTGCCACCAGATGCCGAGTGCCCAAGCCTCCCCATCGCCCCGCCGGTGCGCAGCCCATCCGTAACCACCCACCGCACCCCCCGACTGAGCCTTCTCTGAGCCTGGCGCAGAGTGTATGAGACCAGACGCCAACCCATGCCCCCTCTCTCAACTCTCGAACGCCTCTCACTCAACCCCCCTCGCCCCCAGCTGACTCCACAGTAAGAACGGCCCGCTTGCCTGAGGCTGTCAGCGACAACCTCTGCCAGAGCCTTCAAAGACATCAAGTACAGAGGCACAGCCCGCACTAGTGCCCGACTGGCTGAGGCGCTGACCGCTACGGAAGTGCATCGAGATCCAAAAAGCGTCGGCATTCATGACAAATTCTAAAATTACTTTATTTTCATATACGGGATTACTGTTTTGGGTCTTCGTTCAAATAATAAGGACTTCGCCGAAACCGACGAAGCCCTGAAAAGCTGTTGTGGGGATTTGTTCAGTCAAAACCTCCGAAGAGGCGCGCCAGGTGCCCTGATTCGTATGTAATTCATGATGTTGATTCTCGTAATCTTTTATATGTAGATACTCAAATAGAATAAATATCAAAAAAATTTCTTATAGCATGATGAGAGATTTTTTCGTTAAAAATTTCCGACCTTCGTCGGAGATGTTGACAGGCTTCGCCTCTGCCTTCTTTACTTTCGTCCCAACAGAGGCCCGAACACGATATAAAACCGCGACGCGACTTGATGGATTGGTGATGGTGGCTCTATTTTATTCATATAATGATGATACGTACTCACAGGGTAAAGCTCAATATAAATTTAGATCAATTCACTTCGAAAATTTATGAAAGAAGAACTGAAGAACCCATTAAGAACATGAAAATAATGAAGAAGCAGAAGCTTTTTCTTAGTCCTGGCGGACCGAGAGCGCCTGTTTTTGGAACAGACGAACCCGAGCCCCACACCAAGACCCGTCTCCTTTTTTGCTCCTAGAAGACGTCTGCATTGGCCAAAGGCCCAACACGTTGGCGAGCTTTTACACTGCTTCGCTCTTGAGTATCAAACTCGCATCTTACTTGTCGGACGCGTTTGCAGCCGACTTGGCTTTCTCCCGGAAAATTTTGGCACGCAACGTCTTCAACAGATTCCAGTTGCTCTCAGTCAAAAGCCACTCAATTCCCTCCAGCAGTTCGTCGATCTTCTTGCAAGTCGCAGAACCTAAGAGACGAGGTCGATGATATTGAGAGGGGGACGAGAGAAGACCGATGAAGAAGTTGCACATTAAAACTTTGATCAAGATGATTGCCACGCGAATCAATCCTAGGCAAAGAAAACCGAAAAAGAAATAAGCTATACCCGCTTGATTCTCGCAGAGCTGCTTCAGCTTGGGCAGCAATTGGGAAGCCTTCTCTGCATCCATCTTGCGATCAGTGATGATCTTGTTCATGAGCTTCTTCACCAAATTCTCCTCAGCGTCCGCATTCATGTAGATGGAACGGAAGACCTCATAGTCGATATCAGTGCCAGCCAGAAGAGCCACCATCTGTTTCTTTGCTTGGTCATTCACACCACCAGACACCCAGCTGACCTGGTCAAAGTTCTCCAACTCGCAAGAAGCACACTGACGGAGAAGGTTCAGCTGCTCTTCGTTCTTGTCATAGACCAGCCCCTTGAGCTCATCGCGGTCGGCTGTCAACATCGAAGCGATCAAGTTTCCAAATGCCTCCGAGACAGTAAACCTGTGATTTTAGTTCAATCCATTACAAGAGACGAAGGAGAAAGAGGTCGTAATATGAAAGATCTATCACTAGAAACGAAAAGAAAAAGAAAGAATCCCAGAAGTGAAGAGATGGAGAGCCGAGAAAAGTGCTAACGTCTTGGAAACGAATAGAGAGCAGGTAAATGAGCAGACAACTATATCAAAGAAACTCTCGCACTCAAATTTTCGAAGAGAGAAAGAGACAAAATGATCTAACAGAAACGTTACAAATTCCAATCCACAGTGCAATCATTCTTCAGCTTCTCCCAGCCCTCAGTACGCGTTTCTACATACAAACGCATCGTGCGAGCGCGCTTCAACTCTTCGGCAGTGAAGCCACAATGCGGCAGGTCGCCGATACCAGTCAAAATGGAGATCATCACTTTCTGCCCAGACGGAATGATCTCATAGATGACAGCGATGCGGCCCATCGCCTTCCAGAAGGAATCCTGATCGGGAACACCTGCACGCTCAGCAGAAAGGACCTGCTCCAACTCAGTGATGTCACGCTCCAACTCGCTGGCACCGGCGTAACGCTGGAACGCCTGTGGGTGAAGATGTTGAGAGAGTTTATGAATGTACGGACATCGGTCGGAGTCACTCGAGAAAAGGATGATCGACGTCTTTGAAGCTCTCTCCTTGTTACAGGTAAAAAGCTCAGCCCTACTCTCATCTTCTTTGGAACCTTCTCAAAATTTTAGCGAAAAAGTAGAGATATCAAACACCTAAGAAACACGCTGTAACAAATCGGACAGGCTAGAAAAGTACTCAAAGGGAAGTACCGCGTCAAGGTTTTCCTCCAGCTGCGTGTCAGCCAGCATCTTCTTCACACGGGTCTGCATGGCGGCGAAGAGAGGGATCTCGGTACAAGACAAAGCAGCAGCAGCTTCCTGTAGCAGAGCGAGGCCAAAAGCAACATGATCAGGATCATCTTCAGGTCCTTCCAAATCCGCATCGTTAGAATCGGCAGCACGCTTCGCAGCCATCTTGACCTTCTCCACCATTTTCGCTGCAGCACACAAATTCGGAGCAGTGACAGCAAACATCTCTTCGTTCCTGAAAGTAAGGAGATGGGGACGATGTTGTTGCGAGCCTTGTGCGGATATGGGGATAGCGTGCTGGTTCGAAGCTACCACGACCATCTTCAAAAAAGTAGAAGGATTGTTTTCATTTTTTGGACGTAAAATAAGAAGCAACAAGTTCGTAGAATCATCATCATCCAGATAAAAACTAAAATAATAAGAATTAGTACGCTTCGAAAAACTTCATGGCCTTCAGGGTGGACTTCTTCATGCGTTTTTCCAGCTGGTCATTGCACCAAACAGCGAGGCGGGAGTAAGGGGTTTCGCCGTGTCGATCTGTGAGAGAATTGAGATGGTTTGCTGTGGTTCATAGTTGTGAAAGAATCCCAGGGAAGAAGATGGCTGAGAATTCTTGGATCTCGCTATAGTGGATCTACAACAGCACTCGATACTCAAATAAATGAAAGTGAGAAGTTGCTGATAGATCATGCGAAGACCATAGGCATAAGTACAAATATAGAATTTAAGTACCGAGATCCAAATCGGTCATGTGCTTCGTACCAGCACGGACGCACTCAACGACATTGCAAAGCTGTGCAGTTTCCGCCTGCTTTCCTCGGAACACCTTCAAAATGGCCTCGGCCTCGCGGTAGTTCAGCATGTACTGAATGTCGATGTCAATCGCTTGAACAACGCGGGCGGTTGTAGCCGTGCTCGTAGTAGAAGTTGTTGCTGTCTCGTTCTTCGCCATCTCCTTGAGCGCATTCGCATCAGCAGCCAAAATCATCGACAAGAAATCTGGCTCCACATTTGCTGTAGAAGAAGACGAAGTAGCTCCTTCACCAGCATCAAGCTCAGCACCTTCTAATTCTGGAGCACTACCAGCTAGGTGGCCAACAGGATGACCAGCTGCATACAAAGTTCCACCCGGACTGCATAGCGGCGTCTGGCGGTCCATGTTGTGAGTGGCAACAGATTCATCTTGGCACAAGTTACTGGACATGAAGCGATCCTCGTTGAGCAGATCGATGTCCATCTGAAACGGACGCTCCGAAAAACCACCAGCGCCTACTGCTACCCCATGGCTGTAACACCAGTCGGAGATGCTTGCCATTTTTTGCACTGCTCCAATCTTGCGGTCGATTCGCTCCTTCAAAGAAGTGCGAATATGATGCCCATCGCGACGGTTCACTTCGTCGACCATCGTGTCGTAGAGAAAGTTCCAAGTTTCTGCGTTGATGACAAGGTTGGAAGTGTCGGACTTTCCTTTCTTCTTCATCATCTCCTCGAGGCCAGCTCTCACCTCAATGGCCAAGTACTCGACCGCATTCATGAACGTGGAGCTACTGTTCGGGTTAGCCGACTCACGAACGCCAAACGCCTCGCACGACAAGTTGAACTCCTTCACGCCAAGGTTCCACTTGGCCGATTTCTGCTTGTTGGTGATCTTGTTCAAGGCGACCTGCTGAAGCTGCTCCAGGGTAAAGTTCAGACTCACCGCAGACTTCTTGTTGCGACCATTGCCGCCCTTCTTGATCGTGATAATGTCGCACGGGTCTTCAACTTGCGACGAGCACGCTTGTTGCTGTGGTGATGGATTTGAGAGGGGTTGATAGCTCTTATCTTTAGCAGAAAAAAGTGAGTGAGGCTGTGGTCAGAAGTTAGGAAGGAGTTGCAATCTTGTGACTTGTATACCCATCGAGGAGGAAAGAGAACACTGAATGTTTAAGACTAAAACTAGACCGACCTGACCACTCGAAAGCAGACAGGCCGATCATCGATCTTGTTACAAAATTTAGGTATATTGGATGGTATATAGGAAGGTATATGGAAACACGATCGGAGACATCAACTAGCCTAAAAGTGAATTGAAGACACCAATTTTAGGAGGTATATGCGAAGGTATATGGCTAAGCATATGCCGAAGTTATTGGAGGGATATGCGAGGTATATTGTAAATTTCAAATAGAAACCCAACCCCCTGACTTTTGCAATATACCTCGCCATATACCTCCCATATACCGGCCTAAAATGAAGAATTACGCTTTTGCACACCTTCCAATATACCAAAAAAAGTAGTACCATCTCTTTGGCAGCTTTGGCGCGAGCACGCTTTTTTGCCGGACTCAGCTCTTCATCTTCCTCAACTTCCTCAGCAACAATACCAGGAGCAGCCAAAGACGACGAAGCAGCACCAGACTGGGCGCCAGCCTTAGCTTTGGCACGACCCATTTTCTTCATTGCGGGTTTGGCAGAAGAAGTTGTTTGCTCACCAGCAGGAGCAGTTTCTTCATTCTGAACACCCATGACCACATCCTCCACCGACGGAGGAACAGCAGCAGCAGCATGCTCGCCTTCTCCTAAAAGAGTCTCGTTAGGAACAACAGGAGCAGCTTGTTCACCAGCAACCTGCTGCTGGATCTCAGCAGTGGCATCTTCAACCAGGAGACTGACCGACATCGTTCCTCCTTGTTGTGAGAGTCTTATCAAATACTCAAGATTCAAGCAGCGGAAACAATATCAAGCGGACAACTACTAGGATAGCAGTAAGTTAATCGATAAGCGATCGATTAGTTGAGTACTAATTATAAACGCCTGCAGCGGAGAAGAAGAGTATATCTATACGAGAGAAGGCATGAACGACCGAGAAGACAACTGAGCGAAGATCCGAGAGAAACGATCACAACAAAGACCAGGAGCCTCGAAGACAGCCAAGAACGCTGGAACTCACATCAAGCGTTATCCTTCCAGAGCACAACGAGCACAGAACACAGAAAACTGCTCCACCAGGCGCGGAAGTCGCGAGGGCGACGTGGCTATCTAGTCCGTAACGCAAGATAAATAAATGCGCCATCAACTAGAAACCGCCGAGCCTATTTATTCAAGGCATAAACTCTAGTAGTAGTTATACAATATTACTGCGTGCTTGGCTGTACTTGTTTCCGCTGATCTTGTGAATCGCCGTAAATAAATCAAGACGCTTTTTGTTGTTAAAGAATTGGTTATCATTTTTGAGCTGATCAACTACTTCTCCATACATTTGCTCGTACTCCGCCGCCCATTCTACACGGCACGCGCTGCTGTACAAATCCTCCTCACCTGCCACAGGCGCCTCTGCTGTTGCTCCTCTGCTGAGGAAGAATTTCCATGCACGCACCAAGAAGCAAGCAGCTCGAGTTGTGAACTTTGGCCCACCATAGAAGTTAATGGAAATGTCTCGACTGGCTTGCTTTTCTCCCATCAAGCCCAAATGTCGGAGCCTCTCCACTGCGACTTGCTCGGGAACTGTGACCCTAATGTAATCCACCACCACGATCTTATGTGCTGCGGTCCAGGCCCCTCCTCTGGTGTACATGCTAAGAGGCTCGATCGTTTCACCACTAGGAATGTACTCATCGATAAATTGCCGCACAGAAGAGTCCAGCTGGTCCTTCACCTGTCTGGTCTGCTCGCGATCTACTGGCGCAGGCGGAACTGCAGGGACTTGTGGTATTATGCGGGGCTCAGCGTTGTTTTGATTTGCATCAACACGAGCAGCAGCTGGCCTCGAAGTACTACCTCCACCAGATCGCTGCTTGAGAACCCGAGTTCGACATACTCCCATGAGCTCACCACAACTGGTTCTATGATGCAAATACGTAGGGAGCAGCGGCTGCGAGCATGTAACAGTGAATCCAGAGTTGTTGACGTACTGCGGAGGAATAAACCAAGTCTCCCCCCTTGAAAAAACGTCCAGCTCAGATACGCAGATAGTTTTCACCAAAACAGCAACGCGGGAGTCTAGTCCAGCATCTATGAGCTGAAGCCGCAAAACTCCTAGGCGAATCGGACTCTTCGAGATGAAATTCACCTTACACACCTCTGCTGCTTGCTCAAAGTTCTCAGCCCCTTGTCTAAAATGTACTAGAAGGCCACCTATTATTTCATCGTCTCCCTGTGATTGTGCTCGACGGGCTAGTTCTGCAACGCAAGGATCTATCATAGGTGGAAGACGCTTCTGATGCAGCTCGCGAGTGGCCAACGGCTGCGGCAACGGATGGTACTTCACTGTTCCCTGATATGTTCCATCGGCGATTTTGTCGCCGTCACGCCTAACAGAATGATGGCGCCTCTCCTCAAAGAATTCCGCTATAGTCTTATCATCCAGAAGCGCGTCCACGTTGAGGGTGTTGCACATAGTGAAGCATTGTTCCTTTTTCGTACGCTCCTCTTGTTGTTTGGCTTCTTTCGCCAACGCTCTTCTCATTTGCGTTCTCAGCTTGTCCCTGATCTTCTCCTGTTGTGGTTCTATTTTCGCAAACAATTCGTCGTGCTCCTCATCGGTCATGTCGTAGTAGGTGTCGGTCAAGATCTTCTTTCCGAAGGCCTTCTGCGCTTCCGGATGCATCTTCTTTTGCGCCTTCTTCTGCACCAGCAGCGTGTTTATCCGCACCCGGGATGCCCTAAACTCGATCCTGCGCAGCTCGTCCTGAATGTTGACCGGAGGAGGAGGCCCCACATCTAAGTCGCCTTGTTGTAAACCACGACGACCGGGGTTGTGTTGCGAGGTAAGGCAATTCAACTGCTTATGCAGCCTCAGCGTTACGAAGTTGTTGGTGTGAAAATGAAACAAGTGGTTTCGCCTTGAGACATCACATCCGACCTTATGCAACCTCTCTGCAAAGAGGATCGCGGTTGCGATGCGACGAAGGATAGATAGGTGTCCGTTCAACACCGTGGTATTCGCGCGAACGATCTGCGGCGCGATGGTGCTTGCTTCTACTAGTTTCTTGCTAAAGCCACGATCAAGATCAGCATCAGGAAAATCTTTGACGAAGTTGATGTACTCCCCAATCGTATCACACGCAAGAACGCCTTTCCAAGGGAGAATATCTAACTTCTCGAAGCAGTGGATGTGAAGACTAGTATACGCCGAGTCAAGAACTTCGTAGCCCATCATCACGTCCTCCCGATCGCAATGCTCAGCATACTTGAAAGCCACCTCCCCGCACTGAAGACTCCAGACCTCATTCATTTTCGCCTCAACTGCATCCCGAGTAAGATCCACTGATATGATGTTGGGGTCGGCCAAGATTTTGCGCCCTATCGCTGTCACAACACGAAGTCCCAGCAACAGCTGCCACATGCTACTCATGAAGTCCTTTGGCGTCATACTACTATGCTCGAGGGCCGACTTCAAGTAGTACTTCTTAGTCTGTACTACTAGAGCCAGCTCGCACGCCTGTGGGAATAAGCCTAAGACATTGAAAAGGCAGTAGCGTCCTACGGCGTCCACCGCCTCCCCAAATCTCCCTACTTGAATTTCAGGGGGACTGAACACTTCGACAAGGCAGCTGTCAGTGTCTCCCCAGCTGCCTGCTGTGTACAAGAGGCCACCAACGAAGCGAATCTGCAATTTCTTGATCCTCTCTACTAGATCTGGCCTCCACCCTCCTGCACAGAAATCAATCAAGTTCTCGTACTCCGAAACGCTAGAAGGATCCAGCGGCTTCTTCACCCTGAAGTGCTGGACGAAGTGATGAATGGTTGTTCGTACCACTTGCGTGCTGCTGTTCACAGAACGAGTGATCTGCACCATGGCCCTCTCGTCTGCTTCGCCGAGCATCACCAGCTTGAGACCATCCTTAATCGCAAGGTGGTACGCGTGAGGCGTACACCGCGACACCACCGTGAGGTCACAAAGCGCATCAGCCGGATCCAGAACAGGACTGTTTGGCAAGTGCTCGTGCAAAGCCACAAGATCCGACGCCATGGCCTTCAACGAAGCCCCGTCACCGGCATAATGACTAAGGGTAAAAACGCCATCGATGGGCACGCCAGAACGTCGAAGAAGAACTCGAAGTGGCTCCGCGTGGAAGCGGATCTCCCTCGTCACTGCTTCCGAGTCATGAGAGCGCATCATTTGGACCAGCGGCTGCAAGGTCCAATACCTCTCAAGCTTTTGGTCCCCACCAAAGTCACAACGTCCGAGACAGCGCAAAACTAGAAGAGTTTCATGAGGGACCAGCCGCTTGCTCCATAGGTCCAAACTAGACATGCTGGCGCCATCAAATTCGGTATGCGAAAAGTAGCTGATCTTCTCTTCTCCAGTTATTTTCCGCAAAAAGCGCGCCACTGCTTTCTTCTGATGCCGATACAGCAGGACGCAATACAAGTGCCGCATCTCCTCAAGCTCATCTCCAACACTTTTCTGTAGTGCTTCGCTAGGAGTCCCCTTCATCCACGTACCAGTCTGCAGGTACTTCCAAAACTTGACCAAGTAAATCAAGTAGGACCCAGAAGCGCGTATCGGCACCCGCGGAAGGAGCATAAGCTCTCGCAACGCTGGAACAGGAAGTGGCACACCACAAAAAAGAGCCACAGGATCGCTCTTGGGTGCAACATCCTCCATCTTCACCGCAGAGCCGAAGCGGAAAGAGCGGGAGCTACTGTATCAAAACTACATAAGAGATAGGCATAGCTTTACCCTGTGGCACTTACATAATTAATTACTCCTACAGCTGTCGCTTGCGTTCTAGAAAGACTAGCTACTACAATAAATAAGCCGCCATCACATCTAAATAGACAAAGCAGGACTATGCCCGTTTGATTCTGCATGCCGGGTGCCTTTTTCTTGTTGAGAAACTTCATCAAGCCGCTCTGTCTCCACTGAAGCCAGTCACTTCACCCACTCGCGCAGGCATCTCTCGAACCACTCAAACAACCACACTCACCTCTCACTCCCCTCACTCAATTCACTCTCAGAATCCACCACCAACCTCATCCGTTTCAGTATACTTTTTCACATCCCAAAAGTATTCCAATATTTCGCCCGGCGGCATCCGGATGAGCCCGCGCAGCGCAGACTCGCCCGCGCAGCGCAGACTCGCCCGCGCAGCGCAGACTCGCTCGCGCAGCGCAGACTCGCTCGCGCAGCGCAGACTCGCTCGCGCAGCGCAGACTCGCTCGCGCAGCGCAGACTCGCTCGCGCAGCGCAGACTCTCTCGCGCAGCGCAGACTCGCTCGCGCAGCGCAGACTCGCTCGCGCAGCGCAGACTCGCTCGCGCAGCGCAGACTCGCTCGCGCGGCGCAGACTCGCTCGCGCAGCGCAGACTCGCTCGCGCGGCGCAGACTCGCTCGCGCAGCGCGCGCAGACTCGCTCGCGCGGCGCAGACTTTCTCACGCAGAAGCGGAACGAACGAACTCGCTCCCTCACACAGAAAGCACAGACTCACCCACGCAGCAGCAACGCAGACTCGCCCGCGCAGACTCGCTCGCGCAGCGCAGCGCAGCCGCAGGTCCGCTGACTCACGCAGCGCGGACTCCCTCGCTCGCGCGGCCCAAGCAGACTCACTCGCGCTGCCCAGACTCACCCGCGCAGAGCAGACTCGATCGCGCAGCGCGGACTCACTGCTCGCGCAGCGCAGACTCACCCGCGCAGCGCAGACCCGCCCGCGTAGCGCGGACAAGCTCACGCAGCGCAGACAGGCTAGCCCACGCCACGCCCGTCGACTCACTCGCCCAAAGGACGAAGACTCGCTCGCGCTGCCCGGCGCAGACTCCTTCGCGCAGAGGCTGGCGCAGACTCGTTCGCGCAGAGGCGCAGACTCATGCACGCCGGGCAGACTCGCTCGCTCGCCCGTTGCTCGTTCGTTCACTCAACGCAGAC